TTCCTTTTTATGGCAGAGTAGCATTCCATTGTATAAATGTAACACAGTTATTTTATCCATTCATTACGAAAACCTGTGACTTCTAAAAAATTCTTCCTCAATAATGAATTCTCAATGAATCTAAAATTTAACATACAGCCATCAATATGAATCAGTTTTAATAATACTGGAGTTTACCCAAAAATAATAAAAACCCAATAACATATTGAAAATACTCTTTTGATAACCACTTTTTAAAATATCTAGTCATTTAGTTAAATGATCTAACAGGTCTGTGATCTCAAGAAAAAGATTCATGTTCTAGCTCAATGTTTTCCAAAGTGTGATCCATGAACATAAGAATGCTAGTTTAATAGATAGTTGCCTTAAACCTGAACCTACTGAATCAGACTCTCTCGCTCCAAGTTGGGATCTATAACCAGAATTTTTTTAAAGTTTCTTCATCACATGGCACACAAACTAATTACTAAAATTCTTTAGCAGGTCAAAAAATATATTGTCGATCTGACAAAAAAATAAGTATAATTTTGATTCATTCACACCAGACAGTTATTGATATGTTGGTTGTTGTCCATTTGTTTTCTAAGGGAAGAGAGGTCAGTGCCCCTGACTAAATAGTCAAGTATTGCATGTTTTAAAATTTTTTTGCAGCACATGGGTTGAAAATTGCTGATCTAGAGGTCTATATTTCAAAATACTTAAGTTCACTAAGCTAGATGCTAGATACAAGTACAGAAGCAAAGTCCCAGCAAATGAAAGAAAAAGTTAAATAAAGAAGCATTAAGTTTCAGGAGATTTAAGTTTCTCTGAGATTTAATACAAAGAAACAAAAATGGATGCAGGCACAGAGATTATTGGATGAGGAAAAGAGTGAGGCTACTCTTACAAAATGGCTTTGCCTTCTCAAACGGTTTAAAGGACCTTTCGCTTAAGGTTACCCAGTTTCTGAGTAAGGCTCCCTTTACTGGTTAACAGCCTTGTTAAAAAGGTTATTTGAAGAGCTATTATACATACAAGACTGATTACATGGTAATCAGGAATAAGTGATCAACTTTTCTAATATGGTGTTTGGGTGGGAGAAATACACTCTTGGGATCAACCTGGGCCTAGAGTCACCTCTAAGCCATTCGAAGACGACTGTGCTCTGATTAAGATCCATTCTCTCGACACCCCATGTTCCAATGCAGAGATAAAATCTGACTGCTGGGAAACAAAGGTGTCTTACAAATGCAAAGACTTTCTACCTTCATACTATTTGTCTGGCTAATAGACAAGGAGGTGAAACAGATGTGAAGAAACTGGTCACTGAAAATCTAGCTCCCTCGCGTTCTCTTTATCGCCCTTTTCCATCGAGTCATTCTAACCCAGCTTTAACCTCAAGCACCAATTCTCAATGTCTCATGTGATTTGAGAGCCTTCACTGCTGTTCAATGAGATTTTGCTCTCCCAAGAAATGCCCCTAGCTCTTTTCAATTGTCAAAATCTACTTCACATATACCATGGTCTTCACAACCAAACACAAAATGCCCAACAAAGCTGTTTGGTGTCATTGAAGCATCTCTACTGTATGTTTGACCTTCCTTGTTGGTAACAAGGATAGTCTCTTCCGTAGTCAGCAAGACAATCATATGCTGTATCCAGGGTCAACAGCAAAAATGATAGGTCAATTGCAAAGAATGTGCTTATGCATGCATATGTGTATACATGCATATATTCATCAACATGAATAAATAGAATAATTATTTTATATATGTATATATAAAACATCAATATTGCATTTAGCTTGTGAATATTTCATTTATATGAAATGACATAAAATAATGGTAATCATAAAAAATATGAGTGGTTAAATTTTAAGAAATCTATAGAACTTGTTTAATCTTTAGCAATCTAACTACTTTGCATCAAATCTGCATTTTGACTGTGTTCTGTCATTACCATTTATTGCTACTTTCTAATTTTTTTAATTTTAATTTTCTACTAAATGTTTTACATTTCAAAATAAATTGGTAAAGTCAGACACTGCTATGACAAATTGTTTTGACTTAAAAAAAAAAAAAAAAAGAGGAACACATATTTGGCAGCTGTACGGAACATACATTATATTCTGGTATAATTATCCAAAAGGGTTAAAGACCAAAGAAAGAATCTGCTTGCTTATTAAAAATGCAAACATTACCTCAGTCATACAAATAGCCCCAAACTCGCCTGGCCGCTGCCTCTGCAGATCACCCACCAGCATCAGCATTACATCATATGACATTATGGAACAATAGTGAACTCTGTGTAATACTTGAATATATTGTTTTGGGAGAATAAACTGTCATTAACTTGAATAAAAGCTTTCTGAAATCAAACCTGGGGGGTAGAGCCCTCACTGTGTGGCCCTTTTACTACTTTGAGAAACAGCCTCATCCTGAAAGCAGTAAAGAGGGGAAAAGAGATCAGGGTATAAAGGCAACAGTGATGAGTGGCCCCTGCAGCCGCCCAGCGGACAGCTGGCCGGGCTTTAAATTACCAGACAGAACAATGTCAAAGCAGGAGGCACCTCAACAAATGCTGCACCTAAAAGTCCAAACAACCTCGCACCCAACCCTCTATGTCCTATTACAGCCCAGTGATTTGAACAATGGGCTTTGCTAGAATTGGGAACTGAGTCTTTTCCTATGTACAAAATTTTGACACACTTGATGACCCGATGCCAATGCAAGATAGGCTATCACTTGTAAGCCATGTGACTTTTAGGCACTGAATTTAAGCTCTGAGCACCAATGTTTTAATCTGAACATATGAAAAGAATAACAGCTATTATGCAGAGGCATGAAGGGGAGGGAATTAGCTACTATTATAATTATACTTATTATTTCCACCCAATTGTCCCCTTTGCCTATCTTTTCCACTGTCCAGGATGTTCCTACTTACTTCACAAGTGAAACATGAGCATCAACTTCAATGCGCACTGGCTTTGTGTGTGTGTGTGTGTGTTCCTGCAGTCTGGCCGTTGTCACATGTTGCCATTTCTTACTTTCATGACACTCTTACCAAGTGACTTCTCTACCTTCCAAATCCTAGATCACCTCTCAACTACAACTTGCTACTCACCAGCTTTCCTTTCTCCTGAAACTGTCCTCAATGCTCTCAACAAACAAGGTTTACAGAGGCAAAAAACAAAGCCAGAGCAACACAGCTAGCTAGTTGGTGGCCGAGTCCCAATTAAACCTCGGTAATCAGTGCAACCAAGTCCAGCTGCACTGCATTGACTGCAGTACACCTCATTAACTATTCACTTTCAGATCCCCAGAGATTATTTTAAATCTGAAGTCAGCTTCCCTTAGTATCAAGCCTTTTCCTAGATGTTTCGCTTACTGGTCAAGTTATTATCATAAATTATAAGTTATTTCAAATACTTAAGAAAAGAAACATTAATCTCAGAAAATTAAATATATTTCAAGGTTCTGAGGGAATCATTGTCATTTGTTTTTAGTATTTTCCTAAAGTGGGACAAAAATTGGTCACATAAGGCCTCATGCAGGGACTAGAAGAGTTTAGGAGAAAGGACGCAGTTAACAGCCATGAAAATCCTAACTGTGAGAAGTACTGCATGCATTTCCAGAGGGACAGAGTAGAAAGGTTTCCTTAAACCAGCGGTCGCCAACCTTTCAGACCTCAGAACCACCAGTTGACGACTGCTAGGAGAATACCAGCTCCCACCTCTAAGTTTCTAAAGATAAAAGTTATATCTTTTAATGTTGTTGTACAAGGATACGTAGAGATGAAAATTTCATTAATGTTGGCTTCTTTAGAGAATCACATAATTTCTCAAAATTATGAAAACTAATAAGGGGATGTAATGTGTCATTTTATGTAAGAGCCAGAGAGTTTACCAAAGTCTAACTCAAAGGTCCGTGAGGAACAGACTGAAAGCCTGTACTGCCTCATTAGTAAAGCAGATGAAGTTCTAGGAAGAATGAGTTGATTGATATATGGATCATCTATGAAGCACCATTTGTTTTTATATTTTTGTTTTCTAAGTATAGCGTGGAATAGTATAACTAGTATAGAATTTGACATCAGTGATGAAGGGTCAAGTTCAGTCTATCAGCAGCTATAGAATCTGGCACAAATCACTTAAACATATTTAATGATATAAGAATTAAAGGAATAATATGTGTATGGCAGGGGCTTTTAAAATATATAAATGTAAGATGAATTCTATTACTGTACACTGTACCAAGTTAATAAACCAGTACCTCATATTCATTTATACATCCTAATTTTTAGGGGAAAGGGAGACAGAAAGAGAGATTCTTATAGTAGAAACCCCACTCCATTACCAGTGCTTAATGGCGATATGAAAATAACAAAATAACAAAATAAATTAATATATTTACTAATTTAAAATTAACAAAAATATGAAATTATTAAATAAATAATAAAACTCATATTAAAAGGTAACTACCTCAATATACACTAATCAAGAAGGCTAATGGTTTGTTTACACTCTCCCTCCTCAATATATGCACTCTCCTCTCAACCAATACGGTTGCCAGAATTAAAAGTGTATTGGTGGTCATGAAGATTTCTTCTATGGATCTGAACTAACCAAACCATAGTCCAGACCATTCATGGAAATATAACCGGTAAGTGCTAACTCCAACATCATTCATTCATTTATTCAGACCCTACTCTATACCAGGCTCTATTCCAAATGCTGAGGATTAACACTTGGAACCAATGCCATCACACATTCTAGTGGAAAAATAGAGACGGTAACCAAATAAACAATGCAGTATAGGACAATGATGATTAACTGCTACCGAGAAAAACAGGCAGGGAAAAGGGCTGCAATTCTAAATAGGGCAGTCAAGGAAGGCTTCACAGAGAAGATGCCATTTAAGGAAAGACCTAAAGCAGATGAATAAGGCACACAGATATCTGAGAGTAGTGGGGCTATGCAAACCTTTCCAGCAAGTCCAGATGAGTCAAAATGCAAGCCTTACCTTTCAAAAGAGGTTGGAAGGTTGGAATCTCTTGCAACTTGATGACATCAGGATCATTGCTGACGTTCCGCGAGGCCTGGGAGCCCTGAGCCACAACCACAATGTCATCCATCTTGGCTCTGTGCTTAGCTGGAGAAGGAGTCACTGAAAATAAAGTTACACCACTCAGGAATTGCATATTCATTAGCCACCCCTGTCTCATCAAAGCTGTTTCCACTGTAGTTATTAAAAATAATATTTTTATACCCCCCCAAAAAAAATGCTAACTGGATTTTTTTCTGCGGCAGAGGCCCATAAGGGAAAAGAATCATGGAGGAACTCCATTTTCTATCACAGTTTTAAGTAACTCAAACATTACAGAATTTCATTATATATATTCATGAAATTGTTTTTTGTAATTTAAAATATTTTATTATTTGGCACACAAAAGAATGAGCAAATTATGTTTTTGTTATTTCTTTGATCTTCTTGATGTCTATCCCTATTTCACCAATGAGGAATAAAGGTACAAAGTTTGGCTGTGACTTGCCCAAAGTCAACAGCGGTAGAAAAAAGAGTTAGGAAAGGAACTGGAGGTCTACAAGCTGTTGGTATACATGACCCATCCCTGCGGCACTGCGATTGCAGAGCTGTCAAAGCCACCTATCACAGCAAACCAAGTACAGATCCTAATTATGGGGGGATGGGGACAAACCCTGATACTCAACCCTAGATAATGGGTGTATTCCTGAGGCACCCTCACCCTTAAAGTTACAGGGATTAGTCCAAGGAGGTAAAAAAAAAATAATAATAATAATCAGTAGGTCCCTTCTAGGCTGAGGCAAAATTCAGACACTTGGAGGGCTGCTAGAGGCAGGTCAATTTCAGGTCTCGATGCAATCTACTCGGAGGGAAGTGATTCAAACGATCAAGGACTCACTAGTCCAGGACATCTTCCTCTCCCCAAATATGTTCCTGGCTGGGGCCAGAATAAACCTTTTCCACTCTACAAGGCAGATTGGCAAACTCATCAGTCAGGTTCTTAAAGGTCGATCCAAGGATGCCACAGAACTGCCCTGCCACCTAGAGGCTTGAGTTTCGTATGGCATGGCTTTCACTCTTCCAGAATCTTTTTTTTTTTTTTTTTTTGCTCTTTAAGAAATACCCCTTAATCTCTTGGTAATTTACCTAACGCACCCAAGAGTTAAAAGACTTATACACCTGTCACACATCCCTTCTGCAAAGGAACCTCTGAGACCCGTTTTGGAGAAGGCACCTGTTCTAACTTAGAAGTCCTGTACAGGGGTCCCTCCACTGTGAGAACCAAATCTCACTCACTGTGTCAGTCCCGAGTCCTACAGCCAATAGATAACTAGGTCATCTTTTAAAACAGGCTGTGGCTGGGAGACACAGCTGTTTCGAACATAAATAATGGGTATGGGCGCCCACGCTGGCTTAGCTGCTGTCACGGGCACTCCCTTCATCAGGGGGCCCAAGGCTGGGACAGATGGTGACTTAAAAAAAAAAAAAAAAAAAAAAAAAAAGGCACGGTGAGAGCTCTCGGAGCGTTCGTGTCCCAGACCCCACGAGGCTGGGAGGCAGCGCCCTCCGCAGGCCGCCACGGCCGCGTGGATGGAAGAAGGTGGAAGTTAGGGCACCGACCTGAGGAGTTCAGATCGTTGGGTCGGCTCTCGGCCTCCGAGCTCTGCTCGCTGCCCATGGTGCAGGCAGCCGCTGGCCGCCGCTCCGGCTGCGGGGCGACGAGCAAGGACGCGAGCGGGGATGGGGAGGCTACATCCAGTCGGGGTGCCGCAGTGGGGCGCTGCGCGCGGGTGGAGAATGGGGAGCCCGGGCGGTGGAGAATGGGGAGCCCCTCTTTGGGGAACGGACGCGGCCAGAGGAGCAGCTCGCCCGCCTCCTCTGGAGGAGCTCCAAGGAGCGAGAGGCGGGAACGGCAGGCTTCAGCCGCGCCTGCCACCGACGGGCGGCGCCGCTCTCACTCACTCACTCACTCGCTCCCGCGCCGCCCGCTCGCCGCTTCCGGGACGCGGATGGGCGGTGCCGGCGGCGCCCGGCCGTCAGTTCCGGGTTAGAGGGCCGCCGCCTCCCGCCCCAGGATGGGCGGGATCATTCTACCTAGGAAACTAGTTTGACGCCCCCTTAAAGGGCCCGACTCTCTGAAAAAAACAGACGGGGCCCCAAAAGGGTATGGTACTGAGCCGTCACCTTTAAGCATCATTCACACATTAGACACTTTGTCCCTGCCGTTAGAACGTTATAAAATAAGATAGGTGTGTGTGTTTTAAACTTTATTTTCCAGATCAGGAGAGGTAGACTCAGGGTCTGAATCCACAGTTGTCTGGGTGGAAAGCTCCTGTTTCAGCTCTGAAAGCTGGGCGTCATCCCCAAAATACTATTGAATACAATAGATGGTGAAAGAAGGAGCTGGAGATGAGACAAAAGGGTATGGGAGCATCTTTAAAGGAAAGTATTGTAGATGCCGCCGCAGTCTAGGCAACTTCCTAGGAGACCTTGACAATTATCCAATTATCCAATTATCGGCAAGCTGCCGTTCTGAAACAAGCAAAGGCGAGGAAGGAGCACAGGTAGTGCAGAACAGAAACTGTAGTTTGGGCAGGTCAAGGACTTAGACCTAGCAATGCAATGCCATCAGAGTTGGGACGTTCTGGGATTCTCAGAACTTTGCAATTGATTCCTATTGTTTGCTTCATGAAATTTCCAGCAAATGCCCTGAGATTTTATATATCTATAATAATAAAAGCATAATATGCTAATTAGACCAGACGTCCTTCTGTCCTTCTGCACGTCCTTCTGCACAAAGCCATGATTGCAAGGAAAGCCCAGGTCCCAGGTGCCTGTTGGGGGCTGGAGGGCAGCCAGAGCTGGGGCGGGGGGGAGAGGAGGAGGGAGGATTGCTCTTGCACGAATTTTGTGCATTGAGCCTCTAGTGTAAATATAATCTCAAAAAGAGTGCCAAATTCACTAACTGATTAAGTTCCTTCTATATCTCAGGCATTTCTTTTATTTTATCTTATTTACTTTTCACAACAACTCTGAGGCCCATAAACAGGAAACTTGCTTATGGTCACTAAGCAGAATTAGTATTAATAGTGTCTGATTTCAAACCTCAGGCTCTTTCCTCTACTCAGGATTAAGAAATGGGGGTGAAGTGGGGTCTGGGGGTAAGTACAAATGAATACAAGTTCGATGTACTGTGAGGATAGAACTAAAAACTGCCTGACAGGTCAAAATAAACTTCTTAGAGGTGGTGTTTGGCTATAATCCAGGTTCACACAAAACACCAGGCTGATAGGACTGGGAAGAACCCACTAGGTAATGTGACATTGCTCTCCTGGACACCCCTTCCATTCCCTCTATATTTGCCTTCATTTAGGGTGGGTGAGAGAGGAGTTAATATGGGGGAGCATTACTCATATGCTGGCTCTTGTTCTCCCTCCTCCAGATCAAAGTATATTTATATTGTATTCCATAATCTACTCCATGCTAATGTGGTGATGTTTTTCATGCTTCTTTTTATTTTTAAAAATATATATATTTTATTGATTTTGTACAGAGAGGAAGGGAGAGAGATAGAGAGTCAGAAACACTGATGAGAGAGAGTCATTGATCAGCTGCCTCTTGCACACCTCCTACTGGGGATATGCCTGCAACCAAGGTACATACCCTTGACCGGAATCGAACCCGGGACCCTTCAGTCCCCAAGCCGACACTCTATCCATTGAGCCAAACCGGTTTTGGCTTCATGCTTCTTTTTAGATGAACATTTCGTTCTAAAAGGGATATTCTGTCCATCAACTGACAAATGGATAATTATAGGGTATCCCCCCAAAATATGTATTTACACTGTAATAGATGATAGCTCAATTTTGAAAATGAAATGTATTTTATTAAAGACTGCCATTATAAATTATTCAAAGTGTGTGTATGCCTTTTTTTTTTTTTTTTTTTTTTTTTTTTTTTTGCAATACCCTCCTGGTCTCTACTGATCTGGCTAAGACATCTACTTATGAAGTTTTCCTTGTATGAGAAAATATTTTTTCTTGTTCCTTTTAAAATTCTCTGTCTTTGATTTAGACATTTTTATTATAATTTGTCTTGGATACAAATATTTTGCATTGAGATTTTGGGATGACAGATTAGCTTGGATATCCAAATCTCTCCCCAGAACTTTGGGAAGTTCTTTGTAAGCTTATTTCTTTGTAAGCTTCCTATTCCATCTTCCCTCTCTTTTCTGTCTAGGACTCCAAATGTACACACATTGCTTCTATAATAGTGTTCCATATGTCCCATAGGCTTTATTCCTTCTCATTTATTTTTCCTCTTTGCTCTTCTGATTAGGTAATTTCAACCGATCTGCCTTATAACTCACTGATCTTTTTTCCATGCTTAGTCAAATCTGCTGTTGAAGTCCTCTGTTGAATTCTTCAGTTCAGTTTTTTAAATTATTTCTTATGCTTTTTATCTCTTTGTTGAACTTTTCATCTTGTCCTTGTATTGTTTTTGCTGATGTCATTAAATTATTTTTTCTGGGTTCTCTTGTAGCTCTCTGAACATCTTTGGGATATTTATTTTGAATTCTTTGTTAGGCAATTCCTGGATCTCCATTTTTTGGGGGGACCAGTTACTGAAATTTTACTGTATTCTTTGTTGAGACATATTTCCCTGATTCTTCATGATCCTTGTAGCCTTGTGTAGGTGTCTGCACCTACAGACTTTATGGACTGTCTTCAGTAGGGGAAAATTTTTGCCTGCAGGTGGAGGCATATTGGAACATGCTGTGTCCCCAGTGGTATAGGGCACAAATGCAGGGGCTTATGGTAGCTAATAAGTGATAAAACCAGGAGTCAAGTATTCTAAAACTCATTATATCTCTAATCCACTCCCGACTACCTCCTCCTCCCATGTCTTTATGTTGCCTGGCAACCCATCCATCCAGTTTCCAAGGCAGAAATCTGCTTACCCTCGTCTCCCCATCAACCAATCACAAATCTAGAGAGAATTTTGTCTTAATTTCTTTTCTATCTCTATGCCCTGTTCTAGGTCTCCTCATTTCTTGGAAAACAGAATGACTTTGGCATCACCTTCTTCAATCCATCCTACATGAGTCTGGCAGAGAGAATTTTCTAGAATATTAATTAGGTCTCTGACCTGTCATTGCTGTACTAAAAACCTTGAATAACTCAGCATGTCTTTAGGATAAAGTTTAAAATTTAGCATATGGGATAAATTCCCTGAATCCTTAATAGTCATGCTAGTTTGTCTGTTTGAAATAGTTAGCTTTCATCTCTCTTATCTAGCTAGCTGAACATCATCCTTGAAAATTTAACTTGTTGAAAATTTATATCCACACCAAAGCAACACACAAATGTTTATAGCAGCTTTATTCATAATTGCCCAAACTTGGAAGCAAACAAAATGTCCTTCAGTATGTGAATGAATAAACAAACTATTGTACATCCAGAAAACAGACTATTATCCAGTAATAAATAGAAGTGAGCTATCAAACCATGAAAAAAATATGGAGGAACCTTAACTGCATATTATTAAGTGAAAGAAGCCAATCTGAAAAGGCTAAATACTGTGTGATTCCAACCGAAGGACATGCAAAAGGCAAAACTATGGAGACAATAAAATGATCAGTGATTGCCAGGGTCTGGGATAAGGAGGGGAGGGATGAATAGGCTGAGACAGAAGATTCTTAGAGCAGTGAAATCTTTATGGTACTATAACGGCAGATACAAGTCATTACACATTTGTCCACACCCATAGAATGCACAACACTGAGTAAACATATGATAAAATATAGACTTTACGTTTGTCTGAGTGTAACAAATGTACCTCTCTGGTGTTGATATTGAGGAAGGCATTTGCTTGTGTGAGGGCAGAGATTATATGGCAAATCTCCCTTCAATTTTGCTGTGAACCTAAAGCTGTTCTAAAAACATCGTCTATAAAAACAAAACAACAAAACAAAACAAAACAAAAAAAACCTGTTGAACTTACACCCTTTCTATCAGAAGTCTGTATCAGATGCCCCTCTTCTGGGCTTCCTTAGTTAGGATCTCCCATCATGACATTTATTCTTTACACAATAATTGATTCACCTGCCTCCCCCACTGAATATAAGCATCTTGAAGGTGGATTTTGTGTCTGACTGGTCTTCAATTTCCCCTGCAGGTGTTTAATACATGTTTTCTGGATAAAACACTTAAAAAAAAATACACCTCCACAGAAATGGGACTCCTAAGTCTCAGGAGAAGAGGATCAGTAATCTCCTCAGGCAACCGTGACTATAATTTTGAATTTAAACACCTACTTCGTTTTAATAGAAAAGTTCTTTAATCATTATTTTCATTATTATTATTTTAATTATGTTCACTGTCATCAGTGAAAAAATGCTATATCAATTCAGGGATAACAGGTTCACTATATCAAAACATTGAATCTGAGGTATCTAAGTGAGGGAAAGGTCACTTAGTGCCTAGTATGGATTAATCCTTATAGGGAGACTTAAGGAATTTGTCCTCTCTATACCCTGGACCCCCCAGTATATCACCTGCAGAGATAAAATATACTATACATCAGTCTATTGGCATCTGGAAAGTCACTCCAATGGGAAATCACTGTGGAATTTCTTTGTCTTTGATAAGCCTTTAACGTTTTTGCAGTATTATTGTAATTCAGGAGTAGGCTATCCTCTGAATACAGCTAGTAAGAGTTAGTTTCACACAATAGACCATTATTCATGGGCAGTCTTGGTGAACATATGCTTCCTGCAGTGATAAAGCCAACAGCTATATCCTAAAACTAGGATATAGCTGTTGGCTTTATCAGGGCCAGAATAACAATCTACAATTGCAGAGTGCTTTAGGTTTGAAAGCTCTTTCACGCCTACCACGGTGGAGATGTTGTCAAAGCTCAGACCTCTTGGCAAGTTGTCAGTGGTTTCATAATGTTGCATTTGTTTGCATGTATATGGGTGTGTGGGGTGGAGTGAGCATTGATGAAAAACACACTTCTCCAACCTATGCCCTCGTAGTTCTTTTCCATTAACCCAATCTACAAATATATTTTAGTTAACTATTTACTGAATACATACTAAGTACCAGTCACCATGCTAAATGTTAGGGGATATCTTTTAACAACTAAAACAGACACTGTTTTATTTTTAATCATTTTTCTATATCTATAAACAATAAATCCTGCAGAATCCCAAATGTCTTCCCTGAGGCTTGCCTTGCACATAATATTTAATTCATAAATGGACAACTCTCAGGATATGCTAAATGGAGGGGGGGGGGGGGAATGCAAGTGAAACTGTTATCAAGAGAAGGGTGTTTAACGTCATCATTTACCATAATGTCCATCTTGAATCTTTAAACTTTCCCTCTCTAACTCTGAGGACCCTCCGGGTGTCTCCTGTTATCGAAATAGGTTCTCCTGCCGAAATTGATTTGGCTCAATGGATAGAGCTTCGGCCTGCGGATTGAAAGGTCCCAGGTTCGATTCCGGTCAAGGGCATGTACCTTGGTTGTGGGCACATCCCCAGTAGGGGGTGTGCAAGAGGTAGCTGATGTCTCATGGATGTTTCTAACTTTCTATCCCTCTCTCCTCCTCTCTGTAAAAAAACAAAATCAATAAAATATATTTTTAAAGAAAGAGAAATGGGTTCTCCTATTTATGCCCCGTTAGAATGCACTGTAAATTCTGCGCTCAGTGGTTGCCTGTGGGGACGGGAACTGGGGTGGGGGGTTGGGGGTGGGGGGTGGGGGGCTGAGCAGCAGACTTTTCACTGTCTACAGTACACTTTGGCAGTTTGACTTCTATCCTGTGCCTATGCGTGTCCTCTGGCCCAGGGAAGCCAGCAGGTGCAGCAGCTGCAGACCTTCAGCCCACCACGAGGTTCACGCCCCCGCCCCCTCACCGTGCCCTTGGCCTTGGGGGGCGCGCGGGTGAGCGGGGCGGGGGCGCGGGGGACGAGGGCCCTTTCTCCGGCTCCTCGCCGTGGGTCCCCGGGAGCCGGAGCCGCCGCCGGGACAGGCTCGCCTCTCCTGCCTGTACCGGGAGGACCGCGCCCGCAGGAGCCGGGAAGCAGGTCCGGGTTGCCGGGCCGGAATGTGCCCTCCCTCCCCCGCCTCCCCCACTTCCAACCTCCGCCAACTTTGGGCTGCGGCAGCGGCGACGGAAGCAGGAACTTGCGAAGCACAAAGCAGCGGGGCCCGCGGGAGCTGCGGAGCATCCCCGCTGTCCACACCGAGACCCTCGCGCGCGTGGGAGCCGTCCACGCACCGGTGCACCCGGAGGCTCCGGGGGCCCCTCGCCGCCAGGTAAAGGCGTCCCAGCCCCCTCCTCCCTACCTGCCCACGGCAGCCCCGCCATCCTCTCGGCCCGGGGCGAGGCTCCCCACCCTTCCACCCCCCCCAAACCCCCAGCAGGCGGGGAGCGGGCTGCGCAGGAGGCTGACCCGGATCCCGGTGGCACTGGTGGCCTAGAGGCTCTCCAGGCGGCCGGCCGCACCTGTCGCAGACGGCACCGGCCCCGCGTCCTCAGGACCCGCAGGACAGTTTAGTGAGCGACAAGCATTTCCCCCACGGGAGGGAAATTTTCCTTCTTTTTTTTTTTTTTTTTCTTGTATGATTTGTGTCCAGTATTCATTATCAAACCCACTAGTTGTCTAATACTCTGTAAGTGTGTGTGTTGTGTGTGTGTGTGTACGTGTTGATAAATCAGATTATGCTGTTGAGTGAAATGATTTCCAATATTTGAAGTAGTTATGTGCACGTGTGTTTGACTATACTAGTAATCAGGCATGAAAGCTCAGGCGCTTCTTCTCCTGCCCACCTGTATCCGTTTCCCTTCCATTTGTTCAACAAGATTGAACTTGATGTTGGACCTTGAAGGCCTAAATAATAATGGGTTAGGAGATTAATTTACCTAATAGTTGTTGAGTATTTTTAATGAGATCAGCTCTTCAGTACGTCTCGCTGTCTGCCCGGGAGCTACACAGATGTTGCACAGTGAGAACACAGCTTAGCATAGAGACTGGCATGTGAGAAATATAAACGTCCATTATAATAAAACTGTAATATGCAAATCGACTAAACAACGGAATGACTGGTCTGTATGATTAACACAATAGCTGCCCCCTGGTGGTCAGTGCGCTCCCAAGGGTTGGGAGGGTGTGTGTGTTGGGGGGGGCGGGGGAGGGGGGGGGACACACAACTCAGCCAGAAGCCTCTCCTTCCACCTCGGCTACAGGTGGGCGGTAAGGAACAAGGGATCTAGGATTGCGAGAGCCCCCGACTGTGAGAGGGATGTCTGACTGCCAGCTCAGGCCTGATCCCAGAAAGCGGACATCCCCTGAGAGGTCCTGGACTGAGAGAGGGCGCAGGCGCACAGGCCAGGCTGAAGGACTCCCCCCAACCCCCCAAGTGCATGAATTTCGTGCACTGAGCCTTTAGTTCCTTATAATTTTATTGTTTCAAAAGTTAGACACAACAGTTAACAAGGTAGCTAACTGACTTGTGCTGGTTTGTTTGGTTTCTTGGTTTTTAAATTATTCCCTTATTTTTTACTTACTAAAGTATCTGTTTACATTAGAGTTCACCCTTTATATTGCACAGTTCCATGGATCTTGGCAAATATAATGATATGTACCCATCATTACAGTATCATATAGAATCGTTTCACTGCCCTAAACATCTCCTGTGCTCCACTGATTTTTTTTTTTAACTGCCAATGTAGTTTTGCTTTATCCAGAATGTCATATAATTGGAATTATATCTTTCAGACTGGCTTCTTCCACTCACTAATATGCAGTTGAGGTTCCCCTGTGTCTTTTGTGGCTCGATAGTTCATTTCTTTTTATTCCTGAATAATATTTCATTGTATGGCTATATCACAGTTTGTTTGGAGATAAGACAATGGGAGGCAAGAAGAGGAAGGATTCAACACTCAGAGGCAGACCTGCTGTTTGTACCTCTTTCTTCACAAACACTTGTCGGCTTTTAAGCAGTGATAGGATAGTATGTGTGTTTGTGTTTATTAGTTCTTTGCCAAGTTTTTAAACGAAAGGTTGTCTCAAATCTTTTAGAAGTGATATGAATAAGAATGCTTGTTTATTTTTGCCCTATGAATTGTAAGTCATTGACATTGACTTAAAGGAAATGAAATGTATCTTTTCTAGATTTGCTAAAAGAAACAAAACTCACTAATGATTTTCTTTTTGGTCTAGAGAGAAATCCCATCATCCGTGCAATCTTCTTGATGCAAACGAACACCAAAGGAAGGGTTACCCTTGACCTTTGAGGACTTAATATAGAAATTTAAAATGTTCTTCAGGGAAGAACAGAGCTTGGCCTACATTTGTATAATCATTGGCTTCCTGACAGTCAGGCTGTCTGCCAATCGTAATTGTCCTACCCAGAGTCTAGAAGATGTTGTCATCGACATCCAGTCATCTCTTACTAAGGGAATACGAGGCAATGAGCCCATACATACAGTAACTCAAGAAGACTGCATTAATTCTTGCTGTTCAACAAAAAACATATCAGGTAAGTAATAGTCCCTTGATAACCCTTTATTCCATGTGTTTTGTGACATAAGTAGCTGGTTGACATGGCTCAATAGTTTCTATGAGTGATTCTCAGCAGGATAGAAAGGTGGGTGACAAAATCACCCCGGGAATGTTTCACAAGGGTGCCCTCTCCTCCCCTAATCTGAGTCAGCATTACTGATGAGTGTGTGTGTGTACCACTCAGGTGTTTGGGTGTAAAAAGGTGGAGAACCACCTGTGTTAGGTTCTAACAGGCATCTGGGGTATTGAAACAAAAATGCTACTTAAGTGCTTAGCTGCCATTCATATGACACTGAAGGAAACTAAGGCCACAGGTTTAAACTATGCCTTTGCATATTTTAGGCTCAAAACCTATTACCTGAAAAGAGGAGTCTATATCTAAGTGAAACAATGTTGTTCAGTTGTTTATGAACCTGCCCTAATTCCCTAAATTAAAACAAAAACAAAAACCAAACACCTAACTGTATTGAGCACCTAATGCTTCGCTGGAGATAAAACAAATGAGTTAGATGGACAAGGCCTTGCCCTCAGAGCCTAGAAGAGCTAGTGAACGTTGGATAAGTGATTCTTGATTTATTAGCCAACAAACTCCTGTTTTCTCTGAGATCTTTACTTCCTTTTCTTTCTATAATGGTTGTGGTATAAGAAGGAAGGAAGGAAAGGAGGGAGGGAAGGAAGGAGAAAGGAAGGAAAGAAGAAAGGAAGGAAGGAAGAAAGGAATATTCTTTCATCACCATATATTTGATCCCCCTTACCCTCTTTGTCCTCCCCATTCCTGTTCCCCTCTGGTAACTACCATTCTGTTTTCTGTATCTATGAGTTGATTTGGGGGGGAGTATTTTTTGTTGCTTTTTGTTTTATATCCCACATATGAATGATAACATCCGGTTCTTGTCCTTTTCCACCTGACAAATTTCACTTAGCATAATTCCCTCAAGAACGTGCATTTTTATAATTAGCCTATATGCCTCTTAACCTTCAACTTGGCCCAAGTGTCACAGACCAAGATGTGAGATTGTACCAGGTTAAGATCAAAGCCAACCGTAGGCCATGATAATTAGAGAGAATAATTTCTACTGGACATAAGAGAAAGAGAAGCTAGAAATGAAAGTTAAGAGTGAAAAGCGAGGAAAGAAAGCAGAAAAGCAAAAACAATAAGAAAGAAAAGAAATGCTAAAAAAGAACCAAAAGAAGAATGGCACTGATAAAAATAAAAAATAGTCTTTGTATTCCATGTACTATTCAGATTCTTTGTGGAAGGAGGCATATTATGTATGATGCTGACTTTACTGACTCCATCCAAGGACACCTGGCTCACGCCTTCATATGTGTGTGAGATGCCTTCAGGATACAAGAGATATATGAAATCATTAGGGTTAGATCCATTTCTTTCTTTCTTTCTTTCTTTTTCTTTCTTTCTTTCTTTCTTTCTCTTTCTTTTTTTAAAAAAATATATTTTATTGATTTTTTACAGAGAGGAAGGGAGATGGATAGAGAGCTAGGAACATCGATGAGAGAGAAACATCGACCAGCTGCCTCCTGCACACCCCCTTCGGGAGATGTGCCCGCAACCAATGTACATGCCCTTGACCAGAATCAAACCTGGGACCTTTCAGTCCACAGGCCTACACTCGATCCACTGATCCAAACCGGTTTTGGCTAGATCCATTTCTTAAGTCCCAAGTCAACTGTGAGTTGTGTAAAGATTGCAAAATCAATGTTTCTATTATATATATGTGGATGTATTTTAGCAATTAGAAGGCTTATTTCTAAACAGTTAAATACACTGTTAAAAATTGCCTTTGCCAGCCCTTGCTGGTTTTGCTCAGTGGATAGAGCATTGCCCTGCAGACTGAAGGGTCCCAGGTTCAGTTCTGGTCAAGGGCACATGCCCAGGTTGCAGGCTCAGTCCCCAGTAGGGGGTGTGCAGGAGGCAGCCGTTGAAGGATTCTCTCTCATCATTGATGTTTTTATATCTCTCTTCCCTTCCTCTCTGAAATCAATAAAAAAAAAATCCAAAAAAAAAAACAAACCATTTTTTAATTGATTTTGCCAAAATTACCTTCATTCAAATTTTTAACCCAATGTCTTTAAATATTGCTTCTAGTGGCTAAGCTAAGGAAAAGGAAATGATTCAGCAGTCAGCAAGCGCGTGAAAAAAGTGTTTATGTTGGACACCAGAATAAATGAGGTTCTTCCTGCTTGCCGTACTCTTTAGAAAATCCTATTTCAAAATAATGCCTATGAACCCTTTCATTGCAGGGGACAAAGCATGTAACTTGATGATCTTTGACACTAGAAAAACAGCGAGACAACCCAACTGCTACCTGTTTTTCTGCCCCAGTGAGGAAGCCTGTCCACTGAAACCTGCAAAGGGTCTTCTGACTTACAGGATACTGAGAGGTAACGAGAACATTGTTCTTCTTCTTTTGTGATTGGAATTATTTCAGGGTCTGGTCATGGGAAAGATTTTCTGCAAGAGTCTAAGTAAAACTGCCAAAAGAGGTCACAAATATAGAGGCACACCAGGAGATCCCATGATTTTAAAGTTCAGCTTTTTTCCAGGGAAAGACCTCCGAGTGATACGATTTAAAAAAATTTTTTTTTTTACTTTCTTAAGATAAAAGTTGCACAGACCTTTCAGGAAACATTTTGAAACACCTCTTTAGATCAATGTCAACAGCACTGGAATAAGTGTTTTGAAAGGGGTGAAGACCTATGTGAATATACAGAATTCTGGTATGTTTGTCCTTAGGTTAGAATTATTTTATTATCACATTATCTGAAATCAAACTCGGTGGATTTTGTTGTGTAGACCTAAGAGAGGAGTTCATTCAAAAATATTAATTGAGCATCTACCATATAATAAATTCTCCTTGCACATGAAACGTAAATATTTGTTCAGAATACAGAAAATAAACTAAAATAATCAATAACATAATTATTTGAATATATCTTCCTGCACGCCCCCTACTGGGGATCAAGTCCACAACCCGGGCATGTACCCTGACCAGAAATCAAACCCTGAGCTCCTGGTCAACCACTGAACCACACCATCTGGGGGGGGATGTGGTGTTTTAAAGGAGATTTCTCAAAGCTCACCATGACAGCTGTATTGGGAATGGACAATGACCCAGCAGCAAGAGGGGAAGTAGGAAGACTGGGTAGGAAGTGGGGGTGAGATGTAAGTGGTGGACCAGGGAGGTGGTAGAGGAGATGGAGAGACGGAGACATAGGGGCTATTTCAGAGGAAGAGTTATCAGGACTCGTTGCTGGCATGGATGTGCGGGACAAGAAAAAGACAAGCTGCCCTAGCCGGTTTTGCTCAGTAGATAGAGGGGTCATGTGGACTGAAGGGTCCTGGACTCGATTCAGGTCAAGGGCACATGCCTGGTTGCGGGTTCAATCCCCACTGCGGGGCATGCAGGAGGCAGCTGACCAATAATTCTCTCTCATCATTGATGTTTCTATCTCCCTCTCCCTCTCTCTTCCTCTCTGAAATCAATAAAAATATATTTTTAAAAAAGAAAAAGAAAGGCATTGAAGCTGAGTCCTAGTTTTTGTATTGGGTGTCTGGGTGAATAGTGGCACCATCTACTGAGCTGAGGAAGATCTGAGAAATGGCTTCAGAGTTGGGAGGGAAAGTGCAGTCAGGGCTCTCTCCTGACTGTATCACGTTGCACGTGAAGTACTTTGGGGAAAGATACTGCTCAGGGCACCTGGGCACTGACTCCGCTTCGTCCCCTGGCTGGGGCTGTGTCTGAGATTCATGAACCAGGAAATCCTGATATGTCAAACATTCCCTGAAACAGCTTATTTGTGAAAGTTGCTCATAAATATCAGTGTGGGCCCAAGTCTTAAAAAGACTGGCACGTTAAGACACGAAGTTCCCATTTTGCAAGATGAAAAACAATCTCTGAGGATGGCTGATGATGATGTTTGCACAACAGTGTGAATATGCTCAGTGCCACCAAACTGTACACTTGAAAAGGGTTAACTTGGTCAGTTGTATGTATATTTTACCACCGTTTGTAAAAACAGTAATTTTAAAATGACTTTGGATGGCATAGAACAGATTCGGTTTCTCAAAACACTCGAGACTGTACCTTGCATGGACAGTGCATGTCCTTCCCTTTGGGGGCTTCAGGGCCAGGGAGTGACCAGTGTGGGTCCTTCACGTCCCCTGCCTGTTTGTACGTGGTCTTGGCTAAAAACACGGGGGCCCTGCCGCGTGGTGCGGATGTGGCTTCTGACCGTTCCTGCTGGATCACCTGTTAGACACCCAGGGGTGGAGTCCTCGGGAACTGGATATGCCAGTCTGAGTTTCCAAGGAGGTCAGGGCTCAAGACACAGATTGGAACGTTTGCTCTCCTCCTTCAGGAGCTCCCGTCATGTAACAGTTGGACCATCACATTCCTCCTCTATTATCCCTTCCCACTACCTCTTCTCCATGCTGTCCTTTCTCCTGCTATCAGTGTGTGTTCCCTTTGTCTGTTATCTATTTCACAATTAAAGCAGAATATTTAAATTTTATAGGTAATTTTAATCCAGTCATTTTACTGCCATAAAATCTAAAGAAACTGTATCAAAACAAGAAAAGAAAAAAAACCTATTGGTGTGGAGCTGTTTACCATATCATTAGTCTAGAAAACGAAAAACTAGAAGCAGCATAAAGGTTCAGTTGCCAGAGTATGGTTGGGTGGGAAATATGATGGTTTCACTTGAGGGAATATGATGCAGACACTAAAACATAAGTTTGAGGTGTAGAAATAAGCAAATTCATTTAAATTTCTGGTGGAAAACATTCAGTTGTTTTTCAATTACATGAAAAAAAATTAACTTAAAGGTATATGGACATGTTAATAGTGGCTGGAACGTAACAGAAATTACAGTTGAATTTATTTTCATTGTTATAATACTTCAGTAATGTTGCTTATATATATATATATAATATTATATAATATATTATATAGTATATTATATAATATATATATATATTATTGATTTTTTACAGAGGAAGGGAGAGAGGGATAGAGAGTTAGAAACATAAGTGAGAGAGAATCATTGATCAGCTGCCTTTTTAAAAAATATATATATATTTTATTGATTTTTTTACAGAGAGGAAGGGAGAGAGATAGAGAGCCAGAAACGTCGATGAGGGAGAAACATCTACCAGCTGCCTTCTGCACATCCCCCACTGGGGATGTGCCCACAACTGGGGATGTGCCCGCAACTGGGGATGTGCCCGCAACCAACGTACATGCCCTTGACCAGAATCGAACCCGGGACCTTTCAGTCCGCAGACCAACGCTCTACCACTGAGCCAGCTGCCTCTTGCACACCTCTTACTGGAGATGTGCCTGCAACCAAGGTACATGCCCTTGACCTGAATCGAACCTGGGACCTTTCAGTCCGCAGGCCAACACTCTATCCACTGAGCCAAACTGGTTTCAGCATGTTGTTTCTTTTATAATGCATGTATTATAAAAGCAGGAGTGTGCAATAAAGACTCTCTCCAATGGAAATCTGAGAAAAGGGAACTTGGCACTCACATAAACCTTTTAAGGGCTATTGAAAAGGCAATGAAGAATCAAACAGTTCCTCTGGTAGCCACCAGGGGGTGACGTCAGCCCAGAGCAGGTTGATTAATAGCTAGGTGCAAAGTGGCTCCAATCCCAGACCTGGTGTGCAATGGACTGTTTATATTTTACAGGATGTTTACAAGTTATGTGTGTCATTCAGTTTATGAATCTGCCCATGTTGATGGATTGAGATTCCCCATAGATATAAATTATCCACCTCCTGTTTGGAGTAAAATTAAATACCTGGTTGGTGGTGTGTTTCTGGATGAGCTCTATTTCCTATAAATGATTGACTAGTATTTACAGACTGAAAGTTTGAAAGATGGCAGTGTATTCTGTCCATCCTATAAAACTATTGCAGCTTGGCCCCGTTAAATTTTTTTCCCCCAGCTTGTGGGATATTATTTCTACCATGTACTGGAATAAATTGGGAGTCTGTTTGCTCAGCTGGTTTTCAAGTAATAATCAGTACGTAAGTCTTTTACCTAGTGAAGTCACTTAAAAATGAAACTCAAAAGAGGGGTTGAGGGCACAGACCTGTTTCCCAACTCCCTCTGTGGCCTGACTCTTCGTGACTTAGAGAAACTTAAGTGGGTGAGGTCAGTGGACCGGGTGTGCAGGATCCCTGTGTGGTTTTAGGATCTTGGCCAATAGATGTATCTTATCAGGAAAGGAGACTGACCCTTTCTTTGCTTTATTTACGAGTAGAGGCCTGGTGCACGAAAACCGTGCACTCAGGGTGGGGAGGTCGCGCAGCTCCGTCTATGCCTTCTCAGAGTCTGGGAGCCCTCAGGGGATGTCCTACTGACGGCTTATGCCCACTCCTCACCAGCTTGGGCCCGGCTTCTGACTGAACGGCACTCCCTCTGTGGGAGCGCACTGAGCACCAGGGGGCAGCTCCTGCCTTGAGCATTTGCCCCCTGATGGTCAGTGTGCGTCATAGTGACTGGTGGTTCTGCCATTTAGTCTATTTGCGTATTAGCCTTTTATTAAATAGGATATTTGCTTTCTTGGGGAAGAAACAGCTGTTTTGGTCATTTCTGTCAACAGTCTTATTTCTGACTTCACACATAATCACAGAGTACTTCCTTTGTCTTTTTTTTTTGTTTGTTTGTTTGAAATTTTAAAATGAGATATGTTGAGTCCTGCTGTTTTTGTTTGTTTGTTTGTTTGTTTGTTTTTTAATATCTGATCCTAACTAAGCATAAAGATGCTGTTCATTTCATGGGGATGCTATGCCTATGAATGTGATATCAGCTGCAGCAGAGACTCTTCTTCAGCATTGTTGGAGGAAATAGGAATTCCAGGCTTCTCAATTCTATTTTAGAGGAAAGTACAATATCCTTGAGCAGGTGTCCCCAAACTTTTTTCAGTCAGGCCAGTATTTTAGTTTTTGTAGGTCATACACAGTCTGTCCTGCTTAGTCACCTCAGTCGTTGTAGTTGGAAAGCAGTGATAGACAATATATAAACAAATGAACATGGTTTTGTGCCAGTAAAACTTTATGAACACTGAAATTTGAATTTCACATCATTTTCATTTGCCATAAGTATTATTTTTTAACCACTTAAAAATGTAGAAGCCATTCTTAGTGCACACACCATACAAAGACAGGTGACAGCCCAGATTCCCTGTCCTAGAAGGAATAGTATGTGACAGTTCCAAAGGACCTCTTAGAGGTGTGAGGCTTAGAGAGCGGTCACAGATGTTGCCGATCTGAAGCTGCCTCTGGATCTGGTCGTTAGGACAGGGGAGAGTGAGGTCTCGTTTAGAAACCGACATTGAGGGGAGTTGAGGAAGGAAAGGGGAAAGAGAACCGGGGAGAGTTGATCAGCAAAGGCTAGGAAATTCTTTTGCTTCCTTCCTCGTGTTTTCTGCAGTTCTCACCAAAGTAAAATGATTAGTTAACCAGCAGAGTACTTCAAATGCTCATTCCCTGCCCTGATTGCTTTAACAGACCTCTGCAGTTGGAGCTATGTAAATGGCTTGTGTGACTGAGAGCACTGTGCTAAGCCTTCTGGTGCCTGAGGAGGACCTGAAGCCGGTTCCTCTTCAGCAGGAATTAGGACTGTGTGATTTTCTGCTCTTTTTGCGGCCATCATGATTTCAAATATCGGCTCATCATCCTCAGAACCTGAGATACTAGCTCTAAAATTGTAATATTTGGGAACCAAAATTGAATCCCCTAAGTTGCCTCTCTCCCCTGAGATTAGTGCTGAAATGTATTTATTTATTTTTTTAATTGAAAAATGTCATCAGCTGCTTTGGCCTTCTCCCTGCCTTCTCCCTGCCTCCTCCCTGCCTCCTGAGGAGACCAAAAACCCCTGTTCTCCTCCCCATTCCCCCTTGGCAAAGCTAATCGCGAGGATTCTGCCTCCTCTCCCATTGTCCCGTGGCTTCCACCTACCTTTCTTGCCGGCCCCTGTCCCCACTGTTAATCTCTCCAGGGATTGCTTGCTCCCCAGTTGTCATCACATCCCAGCTGGCACTGCCTGGAGGACCTCTGGCCTCACATGGACAGTCTCCCTCCCAGACCCTCTGCCACATCCCCTGGCCTAGTCTTCTTCCATGGCCTTGGCCCTTAAGGCGTCTCGTCTCGATCTTCCTACATCTCCTGCTGCCCATGCTGAGGCCCTCTTTGAGTCCCTGCTCCTCTCACCTCTCCATTTGCCTGACCCTCCTCCCTACATTCCTCTTCTCCTCGGTCCCATCACCCTAGAAATAACCCATAGGATCTGGTGGAGAGGTTCTGATTTAGCCGTTTATTTTTTTCCCATTTTGCAGTCTCAAAGGAATGTCAAGTATCAACAGTGTGGGACTTACTGAACAAGTGACTATGTTTGTCTTTTTTAACCCTGCCTTATACATTTAAGTCTCCCTTTTATTTTCTATACATTTCCAGATGTTCCATCATGGGGCCAACCTGATTTGCTGAGCCAGATAGTCACTCCCACACCCCCTCATCCAACAGGTGATGCAAAGCCCACTGGCATCCTATGGAGAGATTCATTTTCTCAGAAGTTCGGAGCCTCACAGCACTTGGAGAAACTACTCAGGATTGATCCAGGGAGTATATCGTCCCCTGTTTATCAAGATGGAGGGCATTCTCGGAGTTCCCAGTCTTCCTCCGGACAAAGAATAGGCCATCCGCTGCCTGAAAATGTGACCACGTTCCCCACCACAGTAGCTGCTGCTGCTCCACACACCATCTCCCCCTCCCCAGAGCCCCGGTCTCTCTCCCCCACCAGTGCCCCAGCCGCACCGACTGTGTCTTCTCCACCACAGGCGGCCACCACAGCACCGCCTGCAGCCACAGTCACCTCTCAGCCTCCCACCGTCATCTCTACAACTTTGACCCGAGCCGTGGTTACACCTCAAGCCAACATGACTACCACAGCCATCCCAACCACCACCTTTCAGGCACCTACAGAATGGAAAGGCCCACCGGAAACGTTGCCCTTCAGAGAAATTTCCAACCTAACGGTGAAACCAGAGAAGGTCCATCACCCTGCGACGGGTCTTCTGCCAAATGTGGGATCTTCCGCTACGGATGAGACTGCTCCCCAGGAAACCGGGAAGACCAGCTCAGGCGGCTCCTCCCAGCGTGGTGTTCCAGAAAGTCCCCCTGGCCTTCCAAACGAAAAGTGGCTCCTCATTGGGACCCTGCTCTTTGGTGTTCTGTTCCTCACAATAGGCCTCGTCCTCTTGGGCAGAATGCTCTTGGAATCCCTGCGTAGGAAACGCTACTCGAGGCTGGATTATTTGATCAATGGGATCTACGTTGACATCTAAGGACAAAGCTGCATATCTCTTAATTCATGGGGGTCCTTGCAGCCCACACGCAAAAATCCCAAGATTTTTGAAGGTATTTTAAATACGGTCAAGAGCATATTTGACCCCTCCCCCCCACACACACACTTTCCTTTTTCTTTTTTTATTAAGGGGGGAAAGAAAACAAATAAGGTAATTTGTGTGATCTGTCTCTAAAATGTTAGCTGAAAACAAAGCTTTACCTACAGTAATAATGTATAATTGCCATATAAATTTGAAAAATTGACTGTTTTTTGGGGGGGTTGGGGAAATAATGGTTAGGACTTCTAGGCTCCAATTTGTTAATATTTCTAGTTCCAGATAAAGTCAACTACTTATGATCTTAATTCTAATGGGTTTACTTTCCTTTTGTATGTATACCAATGAAACTTATTCTAGATGTATTTCCTTCCAATTAAATATTTGAATAAATCCTTTGTTACTCAGCAGTGTTCTTGTAAGTCACATGCTCAGCTGGATAACTTTCCATGTATTCCCACCAGTAAATGATTAAATGATGAAAATATGTGTTCTAAATTAAAATGAACATTCCCCTCCCCCTTTTCTCATCAATGAGCAAAGAGGTTCCTTTAGGTTTAGAAGAATTCTAGCAAAACATTAGCCTACATGGAGACAATGATAAGACAGTTCTGATGCCCAAATCTACTTTGGAAATATTTTAGTTCCAATACTGTTAAAAATAATAGTAACATAGGCATTTTCCTATGTTTAAAACTTAACCATATTATTTATAAATCCTTATCTAAACTTGACTAACACTAATTTTTTGGCTTTATTTATAGTAACATTGGAAATAATAGATAGCACTTAAAATTATTATTCAATGATTAGTGTGTTGTAACTTTCATTGATTAATTATTGAGATGTCTGAGAAATGCCTTTAATATGCAGAGTTTGCCAGACAAGTTACAGTGGGTAACTAAGAAGCTAGGAGGCCACCTAGGCCAGTTTGACATGAGCAAAAGCAGAGGTTTGGTCCCTTCCTGGTGATAAAATGGAATTCAGGTGAGAACTTTATGCAGTGAACACTAGAGGGCAGTAGGTGGCTAATAAGTATAGCAAGGAAGGCAACTGCAGGAATAAAAAAGAAACGGGCGGACTGGTAAACATAATAGAATCAGGGACATGGAAAGGAATTGGACTAACAATTCTCAGGGGGAAGGGAGTCTGAGGGGTGAGGGAAGAGATTGGACAAGAATCTTACATCTATGGATGAAGACAGGGGCAGGGGTAAGGGCATGGGGTGGAGTTGGGAATCAGGTGGAGAGGAGATATGGGGGAAGAAGGGGAAAAGAGGAAACCTGTAATAATCTGAACAATAAAGATTTATTATTAAAAAAAAAAAAAACGGGCTTTTCTCTTTCTTCATCTCTTCCTTCCAGTCCCCTCTCCTGGAATCCTATCCTCCCCACCCCCTCCCCCTGCCCCTCTGGCTTATACTAAGCTCATAAAGCTCATTAAGAGGAAAGCTAGTCTCCTGAAAATAGTATTTTTCACATATTTTCCAACTTAACAGTTTGACACAAATCTCCAAGGGGTTTACATAAGCTTTAAGTAGGTTGAATAAATAACACCTTGAATCAATTTAATTTAACAAGCATTTATTGAACAGCCACCTGTAGGTCAGAATCAGATTAGTAACTAAGAGCCTCAGAATTTTTAAATTCTGCCCTCCCCCTTTTTTTGATGGAACTGAATCGTGGAAACAAGGCTTTTCTGTGGGTGTTTTTAAGAGCTTTCTCCTGCTTCTCTTGGATCTCTCCATCTCCTTGCTGCGTACAGTCTCCTTCGAGATGGAAACTTGATGGGGAGCCCAGCCTGAGGCCCGAGCTGTAGTCCAGATGAGAAATGCTATGGGGCCAAGCTTTGGCAGGGACTGGGGACGGATGTATAATAGATGGTAGGGGAACCGTTTGGGTTTAAGACCTGTTTCTAAGAGTTGGACTAGCTCTTCTCACACTGCCCTCTCTGCTTATGACCCCGGCCACAGTGAATTGAGACTGCTGCACGGGGACATCAGAGGGGAAAGAAGCCTGCATTTGTTTTCTTTTCAATAACTGTAACAGCGATTAGCTTAGCCCCGTGGTCGGCAAACTGTGGCAGATGAACCGTTAGCCAGCGCCGGCCTGTGGACGGAGGGTCTTGGATTTGATTCCCTGTCAAGAGCACATACCTTGGCTGCAAGCTCAATCTAGGTTCTGGGGCTGTAGTTCTACACCCCTATTCTCTGTTTTTCAAATGCGCCAGGCGCCTTCATGAGCCATGCTATACCCTCTGCTTATACATGCCCTTCCCCTTGTTCACCTGGCCAATTTCCACTTACCTTTCAAGACTCAGCTCAAACATCACCTCCACCACTGTCTTCCCAGAGTCTCCCTGGAGATGTATAATCCTCCTGGGTTTCTGGCATGGCTCTTGATTTACACCATTAGCAAGACACTTCCATGGTATCTTCCAACATATCAGTTTATATGTTCCATCGCTAGACTGTGATATATTAGAGAGCACTATTTCTCTGATTCTCCCATACTTAATAGCATGCCTGGCACACAGTAGACACTCCATAAATGATCACAAGTGAGTTTTAAAACCTGTTTGGTGAAGTTCATTCCTTTCAGCAATGAGCCGTAATGTGATCGGCTGTACATGCAACAGCTTCTATATCATGCAGAGAAAATCCAGTTAAAACCACTTATATGCATTTTTTAAGAGAATAGGATGCAATCCAAGCGCACAGTGATAAAGTGTAAGCACTTAACTAAGACCATGTGCTGAGGAACCAGTAGATAAGTATTTGATTTTGTTTATTTCTTCCCTTAGAGAGCAATTTACTTAGCCTATAGAGAGGGTGAGCTGACAGAATGTTTTTGCTTGTGTTCTCATATTTTTTTTGTTTATTTTTAAATCTATTTTTATAGGTGAGAATATTACAGATGACTCCCTATTTTTGGTTAATTTTAAGGTAACTTTTAGAGCACACTTATAGCCAAAGTAAGGTTCAGATTCTAAGTTGTCTGTCCCTAAATTATGATGTTAGTTAGCAAAGGAATCAAAACTAAAACCTAGAGCTCCAGCCTTTTAATTGGAATATTCTTTCCACCACACTGTACTACCATGAACAGAGACGTGGAAATAATGCACCTAGCAACACACACCCAGACATAGTGTGGGTGTAGGTATGTGTGTCCAATTTTGATTTTCAATCTCATTGTATATAACATAATTTATAATGTCTTTCATAAACATTTGTTTTTTCATCTTTTAATGAGAAAGATCCATTTACATTTAAATAATAGGACACGATGACACGAGACTTACTAAATTCTGTTTTAATGATTACATGCAAATACCATCCTTATCAAGGACCAACAGAATTACCTATGCAACTTTACTCTCTTTTTCACCTTTTCATGTGGCTAATTTGTCTCCTCAGCAATATTGGAAGTGACTGGAAGAGTAGAGTTTCAACTTGTATTTTCTTTGATTTGCGGGTGTCTGTTATTGTTTGCCACCTGTGGCTACCATGCAGGAAAGGGTAAGAAAGATACGGCTCAGAGAATTGAAGGACTCGCCCAGCCTTGTCCCTGCCTCTCCATCTTTGTTTTTACTGCTGTGACAGCTCCCGTTGGCCTTTGCATTCAATAGGTGAGCAGTAAACATTCCTTGGTTTTAACATCTTATAGGTGCCTAAACTCTAAGATTGTTGGCTTTTCTTTCATGGGATGAATGGAAACCCAAATGCAACCAGATAAGAATTATAAAAGGTAGGAGTGGTGGGCCCTTCATAGGTCTGGCCTACATATGGGACCCCTCATTCCTCCTGTTCTTCTTCCCCTCTCTCTTCCCAACAATACCCTCAACTCCTCAGGCCCTGAGACCTGTGCTTCCTCCAGCATCCTCTCTGCCTTCAGAGGTGTGGCTTCAACGGGAAAAGGGGAGACACAAGAATGGGCACGCTCCGCGTCTCCTCAGAGATGTGGCTTCTTCTCACAATCACTGAAAGCCACTCACTCGCACCCTCAGAGGAAAAAAGGAAATCCAGTTCTGACAACACATACCCAATTGCACACATTTGCAGACCTTTTTTACAGACATATACATGATAAACTTTTTTTTTCTCTTTTTAAAAAAATTATATTTTTATTGATTTCAGAGAGGAAGAGAGAGAGAGAAATGTGTGTGTGGGAGAGAGAGAGAGAGAGAGAGAGAGAGAGAGAGAGAGAGAGAGAGAGAGAGAGAAACATGATGAGAAAGAGAAAGAGAGAGAGAGAGAGAGAGAGAGAGAGAGAGAGAAACATCAATGATGAGAGAGAACCATTGATTGGCTGCCTTCTGCAGGCCCACACTGGGAATGAAACTCCCAATCCAGGCATGTGGCCCTTCTGGGAATTAAACTGTGACTTCCTGGTTAATAGGCTGATGCTTAACCACTGAGCGATGCTGGCTGGGCTCATGATAAGCTTAAAAAAAAGAAAAGAAAAAAAAAGAAAATCCAAAACAACAAAATCTGAAAAGATAATATAGAAGAAATAGAAATTGGAGCTGATGCATAAACTCTTAAGTGAGGGAGTAAGTAAATGAGAGGGGACTGGGCAGATGAACCATTAGTAGCAAATGGATGTCATCGCTTCATATTTAACGAACCTATACACGGTGCTAAATTTACCAGCCTTAGCCAGTGTCCCCTCACAAACCACCAGGGTGTTTCACATTAAGTTGATCAGGGACAGTGGCACACTGGCCAGAGGCTGCTGTCACACAGTCTTCTTTTTGGATGCCCCAAGGTAGACAGGAACTAGATGCGGTTTTGCAGACAGCAAGGAGCTGCGAAAAATCATTCTTTCCCACCTGACCCAACCTCCCAGGCGGCCATTCTCACACTCAAGTCAGGTGCTGCCTATCTCCGTTTTTCTCCCCATCCCCTTCAGTCCACATCATCCGCCATCCAGGGCTCGGCCTTCTTATCTTTTCGAAGAAGGAAATCTCCTGCATCAGGAGGACTTTGTCCAGCGTGAGCACTGGTGACATTCGCCCTCCCCCCACCCACCCAGCCACAAAAACAGAACATACCTCGGGGCTGGATTTCTGACCTCCCTCCTCCCCTCTGCAGTGGAAAAGGGCACAATTCTGAGAAAAACAAGCATCAGGGGTGGATGGTGTGTGCTGAACTTTAAAATGTTAAATTACGGCGAAAATATTTTGGAAGAGAAACCATCCTCGAAATTGTGCTACATGGGGAAGCTAATGGAGCCCATATGTCGTCTACCAAAACTTAGAAAAACAAACCGAAGACAATACTTTAGCGCCTGCCAGACTGAAATGGGACTGACTCCTTAATATTCACTCAACCCGGAGTAAAATGCTTTAAAATGGTAATGGTCCCAAAGTGCAGCCCAGCCGGGTGGATAAACAACAGACCTCAAACA